AAGAAAAATTAAATACCAGAAAGGGAGTTAAACTCTATATCTTATGTAAACGGTAAAAGACTGTTTGTTGATATCTGCAAATCGTTATAAATTGTCCATTTTTAACTGTTCATCTTGCAGAGACAATATACATTCACAAAATTACAGCCTTAATGTTACCGTTTTTTTTAAATAACCTCTAGCAGACATAATGATCAGGTATTGCACTGCAACTTCTTGACAAAGACTATCTCGCACTCTTCACTCAATTCCCATTATAAATTGGGACACCCTTTATATAAAATATATTTGGTAATACAAATCTAGTAAAATTCTACCATTTTTAACTAGCCATACAAAACCTACTATTGAAATTTATAAAATATAACTCGAATTCAATTAAAAAAGCTAAATATCTGCAGCATTCCATTATCAGTAGGTTTAGAAAAGGACATTTTTAAAATTCTTTTTATTTGTCTCCTAAGTTCTGGGTAAATGAAAACTATATAGAAAGGGTGTCAAACTAAACACTGCAATTTTAGTTTGACATATCGCTTTAGAATTGTATTTTGATCGGCTTCAAATTCATTTTAAAATCTTGTCTAAAATACGACAGAAAATACAATACAACAGCACATTCGTTCGATTCTGGGATTTCAAAAATGTGTCTGGCTACATGAATCTTTAACTTTACAATTAGTTTACATGTTTAGAGTTTTGTACATTTTCTTTTGAAAAGCTAGTTTAACAATTTTTTTGACGATGATTTAAAAATCTTTTGATACTATGAAATACCGGCGTTTGCTCTCAAGTTTTGCAAAATTAAAGACGACATTAAACTTTCATTGGTTAAAATGTAAGTTGTGTACCTAATATATGATTGCACTCAGGCCGGTAGCTGGGTGTTTCTTTAGGGGGGGCACCAAGTGAAATGAAGTTAACGAGGCTGGAGGTTGCAGGGGGGCAGTGCCCCCCTGCATAGGAAAAAGTAAATTTTTAAGTCTGAAAAACTAACAATTAAATTTAAGCCGCGGCTCAAATTCTTTGAATTCGGCCTCAGTAATATTTGGAAACAAATATTAATGTTTATTTGCATGATTTAATACGTATATGTAAAAAAGTAAAAAAAAACAGCTGGCAGATATTGTCAAAGAATTGTTAAATGAAGGATCAACTTGCAACATGTATGCATTAAACCTTTTTCTTTGTTTTAAAAAATGTTGAATGGGACTATCGGCGTAATTTCAAGTTATGTTAGAACAGAACCCTTTTATTTTTTATTTGGAACATTTTATGGAATTATTCAGTTTTTCTAGTTAAGAATTTTTCAAATTTTTGAGGACCATCTTCATCAAATTTTGCCAATTAAGAAAAAAAATAACAAAACTTTTCTTTGGTGCTTCGCGCATCGAAATAGAATTTCTAACTATTTTCTCGTTTTTGACTTAAAGAAAGTCAGTCACTCTTTTTCTTGAAAAAACCTGTATATGTTACTTCTCAGGAGCACTACAATGCTTTCATCATTTAAGGTTACAAAAAATCTGACAACCTAAATAACAAGAAATATAATAAAGATTATATCTATTAGGACTTTAGCAGACTATAAGAGGAAAACAGGGATAAGCCCATTACTGGTAAACAAGGACAGAGGAACTTAGATCAGTAGGATTATCATGGATTATAGACAGACAAAAGATAGTCAAGTATACTGTCAGGAACTACTTACTCAGAACTGCACACTGCATAGACCTACGATTTAGGAACTATATATATATATATAGTGGACAAATATGACTAGTAGATGAATTATAAAAAACTGCTGTTGACTGTAATAGAGGACTTTATATACATAGTAAATAAGACTAAGTCAGGAACTAACAGGCACTAAGAAATACATGAAAATACACTAGAATAACAGATATTTTTTTGGCGCTTCGCGCACAGTTTTAATTAAATTTACTCATGTCGTTTATTTTAAAGATGTTGCAAAGTATATTTTTTGCAACAGCTTGATATAATAAGAATAATATTAAGAGCATGTAGAGCCAACCCTTCAACATTTAAAAAATTCTTTTTACTTAAAATCCTGAAAACAGCTCTTTCTTTTTGAACAATTTTACGACAGGGGGGCTAGCCCCTCAAAATCTTATTTCGCTCCCCCACTCAGAGGGATACAGTGGCTCTTGCCCCGGCACCCCTCCCTCTGTTACGGTCCTGAATTTGCATCCAATAAGCTCTTGCATTTTCGTTATTCGTTAAGCATGAACAGTCAAAAATTTCCCGATTCGAATGAGTGACTCACACGGCACACCTTGGAGAAAAGTAGTAAGGTAGAAATGAGTCAAATCTACTAGTGCTTTAATAGATCAGATTCAGGCAAGAAAGAGAGAGAGAAGGAAACAGTGAGAGAGAGAGAGGGTGCACCGTGCAGTGTTCAGTCTCAGCAGTCTGTAGAAACCAGCTGATTCCGATATAGATATAAACAAAATATAAATAAGGTAACAAAACAATAATTATTAATTTTAGTTAAATATGAATATTATTAACATAAAAAATGAATATGATTTAAATATATTCTATAAACATGTAAAAATTGTATTTAATTATAAAAAAGAAAGTTTTGTTAAACACTCCTTAACTACGGCAGGTGAAATATATATTTTTTCTACATGATAACATTTCATATCATTAAATAAATATGGGAGACATTTTATCCTGTTCAAGTCATTCAAGCATAGTAGTAAATAGGTAAACATTTACGGACCTAAGACATAGATTAAATTGCCATTAATTATAATTTTAAAATCATCGATTATTTATTGAATAATTTGTATAAAAGCTCATTGAACATGAACATAATTTCCTAAATTAAAACGCATATAGACGTAAACGTTACGTTTCTATAACGTTACAGAACATAAACCCCCATCTTATATATCATAATTACAAAACCGGACTTTTAAAATTTTCAAATAACTCCACTGTATTTACATCGTCTCAAAACTGGAATGCCTCGTAAGGACTCCTGATTTAATAACACGGACAGCCGTAGTACATTTGCATATCCGAATCGGGTCAACCTTTCCGGTCCCAGTTTGTACTGTATCGCCGGAAATTGGGTAAATAAAGCAGACACATTCAATAGGACTAACCGATGCAACAAGGTTGACGTGGTAAGAAATTAGGTTGAATTTACTTTTGCTAAACGGCCAGAGGTGCGTGAGTTTAGCTTGATTTCTCGCTCTAGGAAGTTGAGCCCAAACCTCCTTGATATACTTCTCTTATGATGCATTTACTTTGCTTTGAAATATTAACATTCCTATATCAGTAAGGAAAAGTGTGTTCCTAATGTACCAGGTCCGTTTTCCGACAACTTCCTATATTTAAGGAACCCTGGATGGAAATGACCTCGCTGCCTTACGACTAGACTTTTCCTTCCTCTTGGAGGGATTATATTCTGCTTCAAAGCAGTAAATGCATCATAAGAGAATTATAACAAGGAGGTTTGGACTCAACTTCCATTTAGAGGGAGAAATCTTCCTTTTTAAATGAGGAGTCTTTACGAGGCATTCCAGTTTTGGGACGATGGAAATACAGAGTAAAATGGACTAATCATATTTTCCTCATCATAACATTCTGATGAAAACGTGCTGGCTTAAATTAGCTGACAATAAAATAGCAAGGATACTAAACTGACTTTTAAATTTTTGAACTAAAAATGTGCTCGATAAAAAGCTCACTTTAACGAGTGTAATGTTCTGACTTCCACTACAGATGTGCTTGATTAAACGTACTAAATAATCTTTCTAAATAAAACTTGATAAATAAAACATGCTAAATAAAACGTACATATTAAATGTGCTAAATTAACGCGTTTAATAAAACGTACTTATAAAAAATGCTAATTAAAACGTGCTCATTGTTCCAGGATGAGTGAGGAGGATATTGAGTTACCGGAAGATGATCTCCCGGAGGAGGAAATAGAGGAGAGGGATACCTTCTCCTCCTCTCACCTAGATACAGTAGATTCTCCTCTCTTAGATTTCTTCCTAGGAGGGGGGCTCAGTCTTGGGGGCAGGGAGAGGAATGTCAGGGTTCAACAAGGAGAAATAGACAGGTATAGATAGATAGGCCGACAGATAGATAGGTAGATAGATAGATATGTAGATATACTGTACAGGAATGATCATGTGGTAGTAGATGGTAAACTGTACACAGTAAAAAATTTATAGGAATGATCCTGGGGTAGTGGATGGTAAACTGTACACTGTAAAATGTACAGGAATGATCCTGTGATAGTGGATGGTAAACTGTACACTGTATGATACTGTACAGGAATGATCCTGTGTTAGTAGACGGTAAACTGTACACTGTATACTGTACAGGAATGATCCTGTGGCAGTGGATGGTAAACTGTACACTGTATTCTGTACAGGAATGATCCTGTGATAGTGGATGGTAAAGTGTACACTGTATGATACTGTACAGGAATGATCCTGTGGTAGTAGATGGTAAACTGTACACTGTAAATGTACAGGAATGATCCTGTGGTAGTGGATGGTAAACTGTACACTGTATTCTGTACAGGAATAATCCTGTGATAGTGGATGGTAAAGTGTACACTGTAAAATGTACAGGAATGATCCTGTGGTAATGGATGGTAAACTGTACACTGTATACTGTACAGGAATGATCCTGTGGTAGTGGATGGTAAACTGTACACTGTAAAATGTACAGGAATGATCCTGTGGTAATGGATGGTAAACTGTACACTGTATTCTGTACAGGAATGATCCTGTGGTAGTGGNAACCAGGTAAACCAGGAGATGGTTTGATATCAACCAAGTAAATCAAGAGATGGGTTAGATATCAACTAGGTAAACCAGGAGATAGGGTTGATATAAACTTGCTGAACCAGGAGATAGTTTTGATATCAACTGTTGGCTGCTTGCTGCTATGGCTAACCTTACCATGAATATATATTCTAGGGTGAACTAGGTGACTGTTGGCTGCTTGCTGCTACGGCTAACCTAACCATGAATATATATTCTAGGGTGAACTAGGTGACTGTTGGCTGCTAGCTGCTATGGCTAACCTAACCATGAATAAGAAAGTAAGATCAAGAGTTATCCCTCTAGATCAAAGCTTCTCAGAGGAGTATGCAGGAATATTTCATTTCAAGTAAGATATTTGATTTTTTTAACTGTAAGACAGTAAAAAAAGGGCCCTGTAAAATATTAACTCCTTCTCACAGTAGAAACGTTTTTCTTAATGTTTATCAAAATAAAAAATCATTTTTTTCTAGATTTGTCTTTAAAGTTTGTTATATCAAGCTAAAAAACCTTTCAGCTATTCCTATCTATTTGTTCTTGATTCTACCATTTTGACTTTTATTTATCTTTTAAAATATTTTATTAAAATTTTGTGAGACTCTATCTAAGAGATATCTAATTCTTAACCTTTTTTAATGGATCTAAATCAGTTAAAGAATTTGTTGTATTTTTTTAAATGATATCACAAAGTCTTCGGATATTTTTAATATTTAGAACACATAGTTAGGATTTCTTCAAACAGTGTTAAAAGTTAAAACCACATTGAATAGATATTTGTCTAGATTCTGGCAGTATGGAGAGTGGGTGGACGTGGTTATAGACGACTATCTACCAACTAGAAACGGTAAACTCGTGTTTATGCAGTCTGACTCAAAGAACGAGTTCTGGAGCGCCCTCTTCGAAAAGGCCTACGCCAAGCTGCACGGGTCCTACGAGTCCCTGAAGGGAGGAACCACCCTCGAGGCCATGGTTGATTTTACCGGAGGCTGCACAGAGATGTTTGATCTGAATCAGCCTCCAAAGGATCTTTTTAACATTTTGATTAAGGTACGTTTAATATAAAGTCTAAAAGGAATTGAGACTTTGCCACAAACTCAAATTTTCTAATCCTTATATCTTTGCAAGATTATTGTATACACCTTGGATATATAAAACTTAGATTATTTGAAAAGAATTTAAAGTTTGAAATATCTAAGGTCTACGACATTGGGTGGCAAAGATATAGGGATTAGAAAATCAGAGTTGGTGGCAAAGACTCAACTTCTTTGATACTTTTATCTGTGAAAAAGTGATAGAGATAATTAGTGTTTCCATCAGAAATTAAAATCTGTAGATAGGGTTTCCATCGGAAATTAAAAGCTAGAAAATGAAAGAAAAATTTTAAAGAAATGAATTGTTGTGTGAATAGTTGATGACAGGGTAGCGATGTATTTTCGTTGGTTGGTTTATGGATCGTTTTTTGCCTATATTGTTTAGATAAGGAATTATTATTAATATTGTTGATTCTAAACATTTGCTTTTCTTACATTATGCCAAATTTTGATCCTGGCAGAAAATATGTGCATAAAACTAACAAAAAACGACAACGATTAAAAAACAGTATTATAATTAATCATTTTTGGATCATGTTTCAATTATTTTTTTTTTAATAAGAATACTGCAAAATTTAGTAAAAGCAAACTTTTAGTGTTATATAAAAATTTTTTAAAAATCGATCCGAAACAATAAACAACCAAAGTGTAGCAACTTCTTGTAATCATTGTAATAATTCCAGGCTTTTCAACGCTGCTCCTTGATGGGATGCTCACTTGAACCTGATCCAGGTGTAACCGAGGCTAGAACATCAGTTGGCCTCGTCAGAGGTCATGCTTATAGTATAACTAAGGTACACCAGAACATATCCAAAATGAATTTTTAATATATTCTACAAATGTTGGCAAAACTTTCTATCTATTTGATTTAGTCTGTAAAGGTTTTCTTAAGTCAACAGACAAATATCTGTTTTTCCATTCGTTTGATAGCGTTTTTGATATTTTTTCCAGTGTAATAATTAAAACTAAAGATTTTCTTGTTCTTTTTTATAAAATTTTATTTTCAAAGCTTCTTGTTTAAATGGAAAATACACATTTTAACAAAAGCACGGAACTGAATTTAGTTTAGAAATTAAGAAAATTATCTTAAATTTTTGTTTTATTTTATTGAAATTTTGTAGGTCGTGAAGGCTAAGATTAAGACTCCCCGTGTATCTGGAGAAATTCCCCTGGTTCGGATACGGAACCCCTGGGGAAATGAGGCGGAGTGGAACGGAGCCTGGTCTGACGGGTCCCCGGAGTGGAGATACGTCCCGGATGAGGAGAAGGAGAATCTCGGACTTAATTTCGAGGATGATGGAGAGTTCTGGATGTCATTCAAGGATTTTCTCAAATATTTTGATCAGCTGGAGATTTGTAATCTGAGTCCTGATGCTCTGGATGATGAGAATAACTTCAAGTGGGAGGTTTCAAGCTTCCCTGGTGCCTGGATACCCGGAGAGACTGCCGGGGGATGCAGGAACCATATTGAGACATTCGCCTCCAATCCTCAATACATGATCAGTCTAGAGGATCCGGACGAAGACGACGAAAACAACAAATGCACCGTAATCATCAATCTTATGCAGAAAGGAAGACGACAAATGCGTGACGAAGGCTTGGATTTACTTACAATAGGATTCTGTATTTATCATCTGAAATCTGCCCCTGATGGAAGATGTGATACAGCTTTCTTCAAGTACAATGCGTCCTGTGCCCGGAGTAAGACGTTTATCAACCTGCGTGAGATGAGCGCTAGGTTTAAACTACCACCTGGAGCATATGTAATAATTCCATCAACCTTCAGTCCTGACCAGGGCGGAGAGTTTCTGCTCCGGGTGTTTACGGAGAAACCAAACAACGGAGCGGTAATGTAGATGTGTTATATCTAACCTAACCGAAGCTTGATGTGTGGTAAACTAACCATTTACAGAGTTGTGATTTTGCAGCTTTAATTTCTTCCTTGGTCACTGTTTCTGTCCATAAGGTTGTTTGCTAAATTTCCGTCCTTTTGCCTTCATTATGAACATGAAACATTAGATAATGGTCTATTTAATATATAACTGGAAACACAAACTTTCTCCTCTATCAACAGTTTACAGCTAAACTTGGTGCTGCTAAAGGTTTATATTTTTTTTTTCTGTAACAAGCTGAAATTTAGAATTTTCTTTAAATCTTATGAAATAAGCACACAATATATTAGTATTTTATGTCGCAAATTGCTTGAAATTAAATAATATTCAGTACTCACAGTTCGCGTATTTAAAAATAAATTTTGGAACAATTTCACTTTTTATATATTCAACCTCTTCCTCATACTAAATATATGTATTATGTATGCTTTATCATAAAAAATATAAAATAAATATTCTTGTAAAGGATTAATCAGAAATCATTTTGATGTTTTAGTTTGATGACATTTTTAATGGTTTTTAAAAACCATTTCCCTCTGAATTCTGAATTCTTGTTGTTGTACCATCATTTCAGGGGACATTAGTTCCAAAAATAACACTTGGCCCATTTCCTAACACTGGGTGTTAGAAATGGGCACAAATTGAAAGACTGGGTTTTTGGAATCCCGGCCCATATCAAGAGTAAACGTCGATAATAAAAACATGACGAGGACAACAATTTCCAATTTAAAACTTTTTTGTTAAATCAAAATTAGAATAGGAGTTCTTTTTATTTTAAAACCTTTGACCGTTTTCAAGACAATGTCAGGTTTTCCATTTTCGGACGTATCCTGAATTTGAAACATTGTCGCGTTTTTGAGACAAAACCAACTTGCCCGTTTTTGAGTATAATCCTTATTTCAAAACAAAACTCACTTTCATAACTTACAAAATAAATCACTGAAAACAAGAAATTATCTTATAAAGACTAAATTCACTTCATAATTATTTCTAGAAACTTAGTTTCCACATTTTATCTGTTTAATTAGAGAATATCGATGATTTATTTTCAAGCATTATAAACAAACAGTTTCCAGCATTTCTAGTTAAATCTAAATTGTAAGAACAAATGATATTCATATATTGATTTCTAAATGCTGTAACGATTTTTAAATTATGAAAGAACAGTTTGTTTTTATTTTCTATTTTGTTTCTATTTTACCTTATCAAAAAATCTTGTTTTGTTTCATAAGTGCGTAAATACTTAAAAATTGACATTGATATGAATTGTCTCTAAACCAGGATATATTTCGAAAACGCGACATGAGCTGAAATCCGGTAATTGTTTCAAAATAGGGATATGTTCGAAAATGAAATCAATAATCATAAAAAACTAATTCTCACACCTTATTATTAATTTAAAATTGACATTTATTGTCTCAATAAATAGTTTTGTTCATTTTTTATAGATATATGGTGTAATTTTTTTCTACTAGACTTGGATTTAAAGATATATACCCTTGAAAAAGACAACTTTGCAGATTTGGTCCATTTCTAACACTCAGTGTTAGAAATGGACCAAGTGTTAGTTTTGGAACTAATATCCCCTGCATTTATGTCTAGTTCATTTCTAGAATATCCCTGTTTATCCTAAATAATTAAAATTAACATCGTTATTTCAAAGTTTTCATATGAAAATCATCTAAAAGTATTTGTTTAAAGGGACTGAAAAGAAAAAATGAAAGGAAGTAAAGGCTTAAACCTAAGAATTTTAGGGATTGATCGAGACACATGAGAGTTCTATCTGATGTTCCTGTCTCGAGAAATTTATATAAAACTGTGTCAAATGTAGTAATTAGGATTAATTTAATTTTGATTCGGATCCGGAATCTGGATCCGCACTGGAAAAAATGGATCCGGATCCAAAACCGAATCCGGATCCAGGTCATTTCTTTAAGATTTACTGAATTTATTTAACAACAAACAATTTTTAAAATTTTTTGTTTTTATTGCTTATATATTTTTATCCTAACCCCATTCAGAAATGAGGAATCTTTTTTTTTAAAGTTCAGATTTGGGTATTAGGAATAAAAAAGTTTTTTCTTCAGTTTTTGGTTGATATTTTACCCATTATATCCGGATCCGTGGATCTGCATATTTTTGCAGATCCGGATTCGGATTCAGGAAGCCACAATCTTGCTGATCCAACGTATCCGGATCCTTAGTACTGGTCAAATGTATTTTTCCTTTACAATCCATTTAAGGTCAATAAAACTTTTGAAAATTCCTTTACTTTTTGGCTGCAATGACTCAATTCCGAATATGATTATCTAGATTTTTTTACACGTTTTAAATGAAACGTCGGCTGAAGCTTATTAAACTATAAAGCACGCTTTTTGCCTTTTTATCTTTTCCAAATAATATAAATTAGCCTTTTAAAAATATGTCCTTCTGGTTTGATTTTACGCACAAGTAATATCATGACAAAAGCTGTTTATTCGGTTACATATTAGAATTATTCGTTTCCACTAATTTCGACAGATGTTGGATTAAAAATAAAAATATTAAAATATAACGTTATAGAGGACGTGAGTCAGACTCTAATAAAACGCATAAATAACTTCCAGTATATATATTTCTTATAACTTATTACTAGAGGGTTCAGAANATATTAACTAGTTTTAGCTGATTTATAATTAAAAATCAAAATATGTAAATATTTCATATTAACTAGTTTTATCTGATTTCTAATTAAAAATCAAAATATGTAAATATTTCATATTAACTAGTTTTATCTGATTTATAATTAAAAATCAAAATTTGTAAATATGTCCTATTAACTAGTTTTACCTGATCTCTAATTAAAAATCAAGATATTAAAATATTTCGTATTAACTAGTTTTAGAGTTCTGATTAAAAGAAAGCGTGACGCCGACTGACCACCCCCCGTTTTTAAGTTTGCGAAAAAATACAGTGATAACCAGAAAACCGTGGAATAGGAATACGCCATTAAAGAGATAATTTAGTCTATAGCAAATTAAACAATTTTGCTACAGTAACTACAGTAAATCCCTTTTTACTGAATAGGGTCTGTTTACACTGCAAAATTTCCGGTATCATGTTTTTTGACTACTTAAAGTCAGATCTTTTTGTCTAAAAGTCGTCTTCCTATTTCAGAGTTTTCTGTCTCACTATATTTATTAGTATTTAGTGTTGGTGCCAAAGTGAGGACAATATTTTTTTGCGTGTACATTTTACATTTTGGAAATTTGATTCTTTTTAAATCACCTTTTTCTTCTTAGGATTTCTAAAAATGAGGTAGATGGATCTAAGAGAGCTGAGACAGCAGAGACATTTGATATATGTTGTATATTAATCAAAGTACAGATCACTTTAATAGCTTTATGTTTTGTATGCAGACAAAATTATTGTAATATTGACGTAATTAACTATTATATCTATTAACAAATTTTATAATCCTTATTACAACTACTTTACTGCAGGGAACCTTACTTTATCAAGGGTTCCCAAGACCAATTTTGCTCACAAAACATCCAGAGCGCAGCGAGAGATATTCTGTGAGCAAAATTTGTCAAGAGAACTCGTGGTTTAATTCACCGTAAAAGTAGTTGTTTGTATCATAATTTTATCGTCTTTTGGGGTGAAAATGCGCGAATTTTTTTGAAACTTTTTATATAATTTTACTTAATTGTCCTAAGGGACGTACAGTAACTTAACGTCCCTCTGTTGGGGGAATCATGGGTTGATAATCTTGGTCAAAAGGCGGTAAAATAAATAACAAGACAAAGATTAACCACTTAACCGCTGAATTGGGGAAGTGGGTCAACTCATAGATAGTCCTTATACATGCAGGGTGTCCTATAAACTCTCCTACGTGGAACCTTGCAGACACATCGAGAGCAGAGACATCTGGCGGCCTACTAACCGTCGTTTAAAATGCATCATATATAAAACAAACAAAATATTATGAAATATCAACTATATCCGATCGTGCGTCGAAAAAAAAATCGATGGCGATAGGTTGTAATATCTCTGAAAATAAATAGATTTTTTTTACGATTTATATTGCAACTTTCTGGCTTTATATGGACGCTATGTTCTCCGGTATGATTCGTTTTTAACAATTTTCTCCTTATTGACGCAACATATAGCAGTAGGTTGTAAGTAATCACAATCGAATATTTTTCGACGTAATCCTATACCACCTTTCCTTTTTGGCGAACACTCCCTTGAACTAATTTTTTTAGAAATAAACCATTTTTTTAGTAATCTCTTCAGTCAGATTGCTCTGAATATAATACACATGTTAAATGGTTAGATCTAACTGGCACTAAAACATGTTATTGTAAACATCAATATTTAATGTGAATTCTGTACAACATCGATTTAAAACTTTAATCTGGACAGATTCCTTATTAATTATGTCAGGACATTTTATACAATGTTAAGCGTACATTTCCACCCTCTGTGTCGGATTTTTCTATCGATTTATTCTCAGTATTTTCAGGAACCTCACTATTCTTAGAACTCTTAGAATCCAAAAATGGAAAATACCTAAATGTGAAAAATATGATGAATTAAAAACGAAATATGTACAGGGTGAGTCAAAAAAAGTGTGATTTGCGGCGCCTGGTGCAAAATTGTACCTTTTTTGTGCAACTCTCCTGTATGGTGTCTTTTCAATTTGTGATTTGTAAAATTTGTAATTTTTTTTGGTACTTCAATGACCCAAAAGAAAATCCGCGAATTTTTTTTTTCTCTCAAAATCAAAAGTTCAGAAAAGCAAAAAGATTGAATTAACAGAATCAAAGAAAATTGGCAAAATTGTAATAATAAAATTCGCAATTTTCAGTTCTGGGCTACTTTTTAAGGAAAAGTTATTTAAATTCTCTAGTTCCTTTCTTCTTAGTATATTCTAAAGTATTAAATATACGCTGTTCAAATGAAAACTTGAGAACCATTGAAAAATGAAAATGAAAATATGGGCAGAGACTGAAAAGAACTATTTTTTTAATACAAAGATGTCCGTAGAGTCACTGCCTTTTTTTAAATGAATATTCGAATTACAAATGGCTGGGACAAATTGACTGACATTTTTCAGGGAAACCATGAGTATCCTTTTTTTTATTTCTTGGGCAACGCCGGGCACTTCAGCTTGTGTTGAATATAGCTGGTCCCTAAAAGTTGACAATTTATTCATCTTTTTTCATATATGAACTGACTTGCAGACTTGTTTTTTTCTTTGACAAATCATTTAGTCAAAAAACAATATTTTATGAACTTTAAGTCCTACTTTTAAAGATGGACAATGGACATGCCCGATTTCTAACGGTACCCTAAAAACCAATTTATCAGATTCCCAACGGTAACCTTGAAACCAATTTATCCGATTCCCAACGGTACCCTTTAAACCGATTTATCGGATTCCCAACGATAACCTTGAAACCAATGTATCAGATTCCCAACGGTACCCTTGAAACCAATTTATCGGAACCCCAACGGTACCCTTGAAACCAATTAATCGGATTCCCAACGGTACCCTTGAAACCAATTTATCGGATTCCCAACGGCAACCATGAAACCAATTTATCAGATTCCCAACGGCAACCTTGAAACCAATTTATCGGAACCCCAACGGTACCCTTGAAACCAATTCATCGGATTCCCAACGGTACCCTTGAAACCAATTTATCGGATTCCCAACGGTACCCTTGAAACCAATTTATCGGATTCCCAACGGCAACCTTGAAACCAATTTATCAGATTCCCAACGGCAAGCTTGAAAACAATTTATCGGATTCCCAATGGCAAGCTTGAAACCAATGTATCAGATTCCCAACGGTACCCTTGACACCAATTTATCAGATTCCCAACGGTACCCTTGAAACCAATTTATCAGATTCCCAACGGTACCCTTGGAACCAATTTATCGGATTCCCAACGTTGTCGTTCTAGCTTGAAAAGTGTTTAATTCTTATAGATCCTAGATTTTCATGAAGCACAAATGCGCAGTGCGCCAGACAATTTTTAGAGAAACAAATTCATGCTTGATTAGATAAAGAAACACTTTAAAAAATGTGTTTCACTTACACTGCACTATACCTGACACGATACTGTGAGAAGAACCTGGGCTAGGAATGATATATTTCCAATCCACATCATCATCCATCTTCAAATATATATCTTATTATTGTTTAAATATCCATATTATCATCCATCTTCAAATATATAACTTATTATTGTTTAAATATCCATATTATCATCCATCTTCAAATATATATCTTATTATTGTTTAAATATCCATATTATCATCCATCTTCAAATATATATCTTATTATTGTCCAAAGATTTACCATGCATTGAGCAGTGCTTATTGACGGTATATAACTGTAGTATTTAATAAACTTTATATTATTACTGGCTTGGGATTCCAGCCAGGTTACTAAAAATTACTCCCGCCGTTTACCCGCAGTCAGCACTTGAACGATTTTACCGGCTAACGGAATTTTTACTTTTAAAGTCGACCCACTCAATATAGAATCACAAAGCCAAGCTAAGAACATTCCAACAGATCTCCCGAGTTCCCCGATCAAAATTTGAAGCAAATCGGTCCAGGGGTTCCTGAGTAATGATCGGACAAACAAACAGAGATTACAACTTTATATATATAGATATTCTTTTTCCACCAAAAACAAATATTAAACAACAAATTATAAGCTGACCTATCTAATCCACATCGAGGTGCTGATATATCTCCTAATATCAACATAAATATACCGGACTCTATAATCCCTATTGTACCAAAGAAGGAGAGAGTCACAGAGTAATGGATTCCCTGATTTTATATTCACATTTAAAAAAAAACTGAGTTAAGAGACTTTAGACGTAATTTCTTTTAAAAAAGAGTGGGATATTTGATTCACAGCGTAATCCTTTAAAGCTATGTTTGATCAAGAAAGATTGAGATATCCATGTTTTTACTTTTAAATGATTGTTTTTACAACTGTGGTTTCTCTATAAAAAACGGCATGCGGATTTGTGCTAAAGAAACAATGAAAGTTCACAGTATGTGAGGACTGTGAAGTGAAGTGCCTTTTAAGTCCAAAAAAACCCGACTAAGCTATGTCCCATACATATCTCTGAACATGTCTATCTATAGGCACATGATCCTGGCGAGTATAATACAATTAAATTACAAAATTCTTGTAATAAGAAAATATAGTTACTTATTTTGGGGAAAAAATAAGATATACAAATAGAATATTATTTGCAAACTGTTTTTTAATATGATTTGAGTGAATATTCCTTTAGCATTCTTAATAATATGTACACGCTTGCCTAAAATAAAAAAGTGTTAATAAACCCGAGGGACAAGTCTCTCAAGCTCAGAGCTAGACCAATTCCCAACCAAGTGCGCGAAATGACAAAATTTGTAAACTTTTTCAGAGTAAAGAAATTAAATTTTCTAGGCACACCCTTTGCAACCCAATGTCGGAGACCTCAGATATTTCAAACTATGAAATTGGTCACATCAAATAATCAAAGTTTGAATTATAACAGGTTTACACCATATGTACGAGGTGTATCTACTCAAGAACGCAAATATAGTGTAATCAAGCGCGCTATTAGTTACAGAAATTCTCCAAAAAATAAAGAAATTGCAATATTTTTTGCATTCTTGAATAGATACACCTGGTATATTGCACACAGATATAGTAATTAGAAAATTTTCTTAGGGCATTTTTTGTTAATCTTAGTTACATGGGAAGTTTTTGAAAATTTTGCTAGTATTTTGCAATTTTTTGCTTTATGAAAATGTATGTATTATCATGCATTGTAAAACTTTTTTTTGCTATTTTTTAACTATTTAATTTGATTAGGCAAGTTGGTTAGTTCCCCCCCTCCCCCTGGATTATGAGTACTCAAGCAGAGAAAGCGTTTTTGGTTTTCGAATTTCGAAATCCTACCTGCATAATGCTTCCCCCGAATAGTGCCAATGCCGCGTAAAGATAGTATTCCCCCGCCTCCTCGTCTTTGTCAGTTGATTTACCAAATAGAAAGGGCGGTCTGACATGGATTAATTGCTTTAAATTTTTTTTTTAATGATTTGAGGACTCATAATAATTATAGCCCTAGCTCGGTAGAAATTAATAACGAGATTTGTACAGTCATGAACCAGCTATACATGGTTAAAATACTCCTCTACTGAAGCCAAGAGTGTACAAGAGAAATAGTTCATCTAGACATACATAGTTGAACTATTAATAGTTCATCTAGACATACTATAGTTGAACTATTAATAGTTCATCTAGACATACTATAGTTGAACTATTAATAGTTCATCTAGACATACATAGTTGAACTATGAATAGTTCATCTAGACATACATAGTTGAACTATTAATAGTTCATCTAGACATACTATATTTCGTGAACAATTTTTTTCCTGCGAAAAATGCGAAATTATCGCGAAACGATTTTGTTTGTTTTTTCGCTGGAAACCCTAATCCCAATACATGAGTTTTCAAATGTGTTTTTAGATGATAAAAAAACTTTCTAACAAATATACTAGCATTGAGAATGCAAAAAAGGAAAATGACTGGTTGACTCCAGTTAAGAATTTTTAATGCTCAAATAACGTTAAACTGCAACAGATGTGTTGTGAAGTGCAGTATATCGTATACAAACCCATTTCAATTGATATGTTTATTTCTAAGCTACTAGTAAAACTATTTGCTTTCTAATAACATAAAATAAACATAAGACTGAAGATTAAATGTCGTATTGAAATTTCTATAGTTTAATGGGTCATTTTGTAAATATATGTTTATAATACCTGATAATGAATATTATCCCTACCAGAGTGATAACTATATTCACGAAATCAAAACATCGAATTTTTTCATGAAGAAAAATCCGAGCAAACAGAACACACCAGATAGGAGATGCGGCAGCTGAAATAATCAGAAATATAAAGATGTCAATGAACGATTTCTTGTTTAAGTTATCAAACACGTTTTGGTGCAACATTTGTTTAATACAAGTCGTTGATCAAAAATTAAAACCACATTTGTTGATTTAGATTTTGCTTAAAAGATAAATAATTTCACAACATCACAAGCTCCAGAGTTCTAGGAATAAAAATAATATTTACCTATCATGTTAGCGTCTGCAATAGGCATATGTTTGAGTGCAAAGAAGTGAATTATGAGAGCTGAACTACCAATCAATGATCTTACAATTAGGACACCAGTCTTACCAGTAGGATACTTCTACAATTATAATAATAATAATAATACTACATACAGCTTGAAGCCCAATACAGTGGTCAGTTTTCATATTAATACAAAAAAGACGATTATTTTATATTAAGTTTTGATTGTTAACAAGCTTTTTTAAAATTAAAGTTACTTTAAGTGTCTAACTTTGTTTCATCGATTATGTATCATATGCTGTCAAAAATCAAAATTGAAATCGTATGTCGTCTTTATTGTATCGATATATATACGACGATGACTGTAAAACAAGTGGTCTAGAGACGGTTCAACCATTGGGTGATTCAGGATTTGTCCATGTCATGTCGGGTTACAAAAAAGTATTTGAATCGCCTGTCGGCAGTTCAGAGACCTACCTCAAGTTCATTAAATTCGGTTACAGAGGTCGAAATTTTTGATTCACAAATTCACTGTAGTTATTCTTTCATCTTCATTTTTGAAAATGGTTTCGACATAAAAAGTTTCATTCCAAATATTTTGTTTACATCTTCAGATATAAACTACGAAAAGTATTACCAAAAAATGTGAAACACATTAAAACTAACAAAATTGAGGTTAGAACATGTACAAAGTTCTGAAATTGATTCCCATCGCTGTGTAAAATGCAAATATAAAATATTTGAGATTTAAATAAAAATATTGTCGAACCTCTGATCTGTAGATAACTATTGGATATGAAAGTAGAGCAATTCCCATGAATCTGTAGAACGCAATACTGAAATGATCCAACAGATCTACCTAGGACAATTTTATTTTAAAATTTATAAAACAAACAGTATTTCTTAATTAAAAAAAAACGGTTACGATGTATTAAAAAAATAGAAATTTTTTTTTTTAAATATTTATATTATAAACCAATAATGGTTTCACTTTAGTTCAAAAGTTGTAATATTTCATTTTAAAAATTATTATATTTTAAGTATTTATATTTTTAGTCAAACATTTTCGATAGTCATAATTGTTGATGTTATATTTTGGTTACTCTTAGCATTTTATTTTCCCCGAAGGGAAATCTTTAGAATTTAGGAAACAAATATGAACTAAGGCAGCTAGCCCATGGACAAATGTCAGTTATAAAAAATAGATGATTATCTTCAAACGCCAAAATAATTATAAAATGCCTCCATTATTTAGATATTTGATGTATATTTGTTATGATTGCCTTTAACAGATGATTATAATAATATGTCCATTCCTTAAAATCCCGATTTAGAGATATGTACGATCTAATATTATGTGTTTAGAGATATGTACGATCTAATATTATGTGTATGATATACATTGTTCAGACATGCCACGAAGCATGATTTTTAAAACCATTTTTTTCTAACCTGCTGAACAATCACATTTGAGAGTGTAAAAAAGAAAGCAGAGATCATTGCTAACATAACCCCCAACATGGGAAGAGATTCAAGTTTTGAGATCAGTCCCCTTTTTTCAATATTTTCACTTTTTATTTTAATCACAGGACTACACTCAACAGAAATAATGTCTGTTTGATCAAATGCAAATGTTTCAATGATTTTTAAATTTTCTGTCTCCCCTGTATTCTCTTCTGTTATGGCCACCTGTTTGTCCCCTGTGTCCTCTAAGTTTCCTTTGTTCACTTTATACTCTATTTCTCCTTTGTCCTCTTTGCCATCTTTTTCCTCTTTTTCCTCTTTTTTCTCTTTTTTCACTTTTTCCTCTTTTTCCTCTTTACCCTCTTTACCCTCTTTACCCTCTTTGTCCTCTTTGCCCTCTTTGACCTCTTTGTCCTCTTTGTCCTCTTTGCACTCTTTGTCCTCTTTGTCCTCTTTGTTCTCTTTGTTCTCTTTGTCCTCTTTTTCATCTTTGTCCTCTTTGTTCTCTTTGTCCTCTTTGTCCTCTTTGTTCTCTTTGTCCTCTTTGTTCTCTTTGTCCTCTTTGTCCTCTTTTTCCTCATTTTCCTCTTTCTCCTCATTGCACTCTTTGTCCTCTTTGTTCTCTTTGTTCTCTTTTTCCTTTTTTCCCTCTTTTTCCTCTTTTTCCTCATTGCACTCTTTGTCCTCTTTGTCCTCTTTGCCCTCTTTGTCCTCTTTGCCCTCTTTTTCCTCTTTGTCCTCTTTGTACTCTTTGTCCTCTTTGTCCTCTTTGTTCTCTTTGTTCTCTTTTTCCTCTTTTTCCTCTGTTTCCTCATTGCACTCTTTGTCCTCTTTGTCCTCTTTGTCCTCTTTGCCCTCTTTGTCCTCTCTATCCTCTTTGTCCTCTTTGTACTCTTTGTCCTCTTTGTCCTCTTTTTCCTCTCTATCCTCTTTGTCTTCTTTGTTATCTATGGCCTCTTTGTCCCCATTGCCCTCTTTGTCCTTTTTATCCTCTTTGTTCTGTTTGTCCTCTTCGTCTTCTTCTTTTTCTTTAATTTTAGTTGCGGTTTGTTCGTTCATCGTGATGCCTATAAATTTATATAAAAAAGTTACGTTGAGAATAGAAAACTGGAAAAACAACAAGAAAATTGATTTCTACACATTAAAGTTAAAATGACAGGAAATTGATATTAAAAATACAAATAAAAGATAATCACGAGATCTCTGTACTCTGTAGTTAACAGGAGTTACTCCTAGACTGAAACTAGCTGTAAAATGTTTATTTAAGAAGAATATATCAAGTTACAAACTTGTAAGCACTTTACATGTTTATTCGTAAACATGGGCATTAACGAGTCTGTTAAAATGTTTAAGCAACCCTCCATTCCAACCCGATCAAAACTCATTAAACCTTTTGATCTAATATCGTCGTTTATCTAGCTTGAAAAGTGCTTAATTCTATTAAATTCTTCCTTTTTTTACGTAAAAGAATTACTTAAAGAACTTTTGTAGAGAAACCACAATTCAAAATAATAAACTTTTAAGGAAATATAAATATCTCATTTATTCTTGATATTCAGATGTCCAACTGTAAGTTGTTTATAATTTCGGAATTTCATTCATTTCAGTCGTTCAAATCTAACAGAGCTAAAAACTTAAGAATTGTATACCCCGATCGCTTAACCTCAATATCTACTGTGGACACTTTTGATTTCTGCTTAATCCGCTTTTTCCCCCTTATTTTGGGTATCTTTCCCGGATTCCGACCAATATAAGTTCTTTCATTAAATGCCGTGCAAAATTTCGAATTTACCGACTTCTGGCTGGTTGTTTGGAATTCTGCATACGCCTTTCAGATTAGAAACTTTCCTGGATAAAACTATTTTTAAAAGAGATTTTTGTCCCCAGGACATGATCGGGTTGTTACGATCAAATCTCGGATTTTTTTTTCTATTGCGAAAGTTTAGTGTTGTCTGGGTTTTTATATTGATCTACCAAAGGTTGTAATCTGGCAGCACATTCATCCATCCACGCTTAATTCATACTGAGAAGAGGGTTGACAAGATTCCAGCTGCCTAAGATTCTTCTTAGGCCTGAGATTATAGAGTGCAGGAATCCTTCTGATATACGTTGGAATGAGACCCGGGTGCCATACTGATAGGAAACATCACACTCATTGCTCCCTAAAATCTGTAAGCCCGGATTGGATACCCCTAGGTATCTGTAGCTGGCAACCATAGACTCTCCCTGCTTGTCCACCATTCCTTCATCATCATTCACTTGGATCAATCCACTTAAAGCTTATTTCTTGTTCAGTAGAAAGCACGCACCCTTTCGCTGCGAGAGTTGTTGACAGCCGTCCCTCTGTCCTCCTACATCCGTCAGGTGGTCATAATTGCTTAACCAGATGTCGGCTTCAGATGTTTTTGAAACCACAGGTTTGTGTGGAGTACGGGAATCGAACCAGTGAACATCAGTCTGGACACCAATCCAGTTACTGGCTGTGGACAAGTGTGCTTAACTTCAGTGATCTAACGAGAACTGGTGTCACACACTTTCCACCCCATCCCACAAAACTTTCCTGGATAAAAACTAAAGATGAAAATAATCTTAAGATTTACAAAAAGAGGAGATCAAGTTGGACTTGATATCCATAATTCTAAAGTTTTCAGCTCAGATCTAATAAAATAAGAACAGAGTCGAGGGTTAAACTTGTGTTATAGAAAAGAACACATTCTTAACATCTAAACAATGATATAGAAATATCTTAAACAGATTTTTTTAAGTAAAAAAGCAAACAAATTACTTTCTACAAAATAATAAATAATTTATAAACTTCTTCGACCAAATGAATTTTTAAGTGACATTTATACATTTCTTTTCTTTTCTCAAATCCAATGTTTAACAGTTTCTTGTAAATTATATGTTCAGCAGTTTGCTACTCTTGCTGTACTGTATGAACTGTGTAAGATGTTTTGTCTGCTAGACGCTTATATTGAACAGCTTTCTCCTGACTTTCTCAAGTCTCAAGACTCAATGTGTTCATGGGGAATTATTCTATTCGATAAATTGATTGACTGACTGATTGATTAACTAACTATTTGAGAACTTATTAAATTTCTTATTCCATATTTAATTTAACTAATAATCTAGACTCTTTTTCTTTTACAAATATATCAATGTATATCTTTTCTTTCAGCTTATAGAGTTGGTAATTTGTAGGTAGAGTATAGGATTTTTATTTTTAAGAAACTTTTTTGTGTCCAGTGGCGTATTCAGGGATGCTCTGGACCCCCCGGCCCCCCCCCCCCCCTCCTGGATCAGTGAAATTTTTGGTTTCCCAGTTTTTTTGGGCCCCCCGGGTAATGAACCTCTCTAAAAAGAACAAAAATATGTAATCCGCCCCCCAGACAAATTCCTGAACACAACCCTGTATATGCCCGTTCAACATCAAAAACGTTGTGTAAAAAGAAATGCACACTAACATTTGATATAGTTTAAACTTTTGAAATTGTTTTGTAACCTTGAGATAATTTTTATAAAAGCATTTGTTCTTTGAAAGTTTACATCCCTTCCAACAGTGTACTGCACATAAAGGTATGTACAAAGAACATTTGTACACAGAGAGTTGTTTATCAACAAAATATTATTGTTATACTTTAATCTTCAATTAGAGCTTGCTTTGAGAAGTACTTGTAAAAAATTAATTCAAGGCCTGGAATCATGTTTTCTATTGGGTGAGTTGATAAACATTTTTCTTTATTTTTGAACATTTATGCAATTTAATTATTAAAACAAATTTATAGGATTTACAGAGCGTCCCATTTCATGAGATTATCTCTAATCTTTAACGCCAATGAATAGGCACTAAACTTTAAAGAACCTTGAATTTTCTATTTTAACCTAGTGATCAGATTTTTAAAAATAATTTTAAAATTTTCGGTGTTTTCTAGAAAAATTGTTGTTTAAAAGCTGTGCACGATCCATGTAATGTGCAGAACCCCTTTAGATTTAACATTTTAGAATTTTAATTTTATTCTTCAGAATTATACATACTTTTTAAAATAATGTATTTTGTAACGATTGTACGTACGCTACGTTCTGGAGTTTTTAGTAAAGGTGTTAAATCTATTGTTACGCACGCTACGCTCTGGAGCTTTTAGTAAAGGTGTTAAGTAACTATTGTTACGCACGCTACGCTCTGGATTGTTTAGTTAAGGTTTTGTAATTATTGTTACGTACGCTACGTTCTGGAGTTGTTACTTGAAGGGAATGGAAGCGTATTTTCTCCATGCAAAGATGAAATGTCCGATTCACAGCGCATTGGTATCTAATTCAAAGTACAATAACAACTCTTTTAAGGGTACCGACGCTAATCGGACATTCTTTGCATGGAGGGTCACTTTGAATTACGTTACATTCCCTTTCAGCCGTCTTTAGATTTAGTTTTAATTAGTTAAATTGTGTTGCATCAACAATGATTAGGTTTTGATGGTTTCTATGTTTCGTCTTTCCGTTTACACTAATATCTCGGGATAGTTTAATTTTCTAAAAGTTTTAAGGTTTCATTTTGACGACATTTTTATTTCATCATACGTCGATCATTCCCCCTCCATTTTTATTTAAATTTTTTAAATTCTATTTTTAAGGATAAAGTTAGCTCTGGGTCTCCTTTGCTTAATACCAATCTCTCTGGCCTGTTTAGGTGAACAAATTATTTTCAAATATTGATACAAGTTTTAGGATTTGTTTCGCACAAATTCAAACATATTTGCAGTTAATGTATCCAATTTTGTATATTTTATATTTAATAGTTTAAAACAACTTTTTTATTCATAAAACAAGATTCATTTGTTAAATTCTCACTTAAATGTGATGAAATGGAAATTTTTTGTATATGTTCATAATGACTTATTAGGGGACGGATGCATTTATGACAAGATGGAAAACCGGTTTTTCTGGATCTCTGATCGAGCTAAGTCGGAGATAGAGAGCGTAAAAGATCATGGGGGCCCGAAGGCATACTGTAATGCTCTAGGTAAAGTCGGTAAAGGGAAATAATGTACTTTGTATTTTTTTAACAGGATTTTAAATGTTACCCAAGTAAAAATATCTAACATAATGAACGGTACTAGTTTATTTGAGATTAATGTTTCATTGGATCGTAATATTTGTCCATTTTCTTGCTCCTTAGTGCCGCAAAAACTTGAAGTTAACATTATTATACTTATTTAAGTAGTTATTTCAAGAGACCATTCATTTAAAAAAAGTAGTTATACTTGATTCTCATCCTATCCTTTGTCTTATCAAAGGTTTTTTAACAGTCATCTTCATTCTTAGTCTAATTAAGATTATTGTGAGTTTGACAACTCTTTTTAAATGGGAATTGCTAAAAATGTTGAAAGCCCTTTTTTAAAATAAACATTTCAAGTTTAATCCTGTTTAGGTTTGGCAGTGACTGATCGGGGTAATTCACTCTGGATGCGAGCTGAAGATTTACAAAAGTGAGTCTTAAAAATTATTCAACCCCCTGTATAAAGGATTTTAATCCCCCCC